GTGCCTTCGGTCCGATCGTTTGCTGTTGGCGAGGTTGAAAAGGGGGGGGGGGGTATTATTACACAGGCGTAAGTATGGAAGATCCACTTAACGTAAATTTGAAATATCGATGTAGACGTAGACGTAGGTGGGTTGTGATACAAGCTCGAAAGAGGGGAGGCAAAGGTAAAGAGAAGCTCGCCATGGGTGTGTGTGTGGGGGGGGAGGGGTCTTCATTCCTATCTGCATCAACTGCTTCGTAAGCTTCTGATTGCTAAGTTGGTCGATCTGCGGCTAGTTATTCTGGCATGGTCCGAAGGTGTAGTCTTTAACTGGAGACGTTGGCATCCACAAGGCGTGACTACTGTTACAGGACTATCATTGCCCTCATTTTGGAGGGTGACCCCTATATGGGATATCTCCAAGTGTAAACAACTCTGCCTTGTTGGCAACGGCCGAGAAATTCCTGCCTTGTGCTCAGTACAAGGTACTAGCATGGCTATCGCAATGGAAAAATGACAACAGAAATCTCTGTAAACACCTTTGCAGTCAGATCTCAACTGAGAAAGGGGGGATCTCGCCAAAAGTCGATGAAAATAAGAGGTTACTACCAAGATACATAAAGGAGGCCACGGATTTTTGGATCCTCAATTCCTGCACTGCAGGAAGGAGCTATGTCTTCCTCTCTTTGATCTGGTCAAATAGCGATTCATCGCCTTGTCAACACCCCACCAGCAGTTCCAGAAATTGTTCGTAACACTCTTATCTCTCTAGAGTGCCAACTGGGCAAATATTATACGTCAGTTATACACACAGGTCGAGTTTAACTTGAATCTTGAATTAATTGTGTCCGAAGAAACTGTCATTAGTTCATGAAAGTGTGTTAAATCTTTATAGCTAGCATTATGATGGGGGCTAAAACATTTTTGCCCAGTGACAACTGTTACTTGAAAGAAGCAAGATCAAAAGCTGACTGACTGACTAACATATCGATGTGGCATTCTTTGATAGCTGAAACATATGTATGACAGCCACAATTAAACATGACTTTCCGAAGCGGTACCTTGTTCCTAATCTCTAATACTGCTCTCGTTTCTAGAAGCATAGGTATGTCAGGTAGGATAAACTAGGCTACTTAGATGAGTAACTGTATAAGCTGAATATGTCACAATAACAGAGTCTTACAGGGTGCCTCAGTTCCCAGCAATGTGGTCGATACTTTAGGATGGGGAATTTACGCATTTAATGTAGCTTTAGAGAGCCCACCTCAACATCCTCTGAGTTTGGCGACGTTTGGAAATGTGGTTGGTCAGTTCACTCCTGTCTCAACTGTCCTGCGAGTGGATGGCTGTACAGCAACCACATCAATTTTTATCTCTTTGTAGCTACATTTACGATGGCAAAATCTCACAAGTCAACTTTGCGTATTATTATGTAGTTAGAGTCAAATGCCGTTGTTGCATACAGAATGCAGTCGTGTAGTCTTCTGTTCGATGGAATGTTGTAAAATCGTCTGGATATGGACAGCACAGATACTGAGACGTGAGCTATAGTGGTTCTTATTCCCATATACCAAGACGCACAGCAATGCTCTCACATAATTACCTTGGCACTGAAGGCCTCCAGAAGTGTTGGTCTGTTATTGCAAGGGACTGCTATCAGGATGTTTTTCATCTGAGTTGAACTTTGTTTTCTCTTTTCCGGGGAAGGGTGAGTTGGAACTTACGAACCTGTTTCGGTTAGACATTTTTCTGTGAAGCTGGGTTTAGAGGGTCAGGAGGAGGTTTTGCCAGTTGGTTGATGGCAAAACAAACTCCATGTATCTCCGGGTTTGCTTTGGGTAAGTGGTTTAGAAGAAGGGGTAGTCTTCTATGAGATTTTACTGGCCATATCGACATAGCTCTTCTCACTAAGGCTGGCAATGTCTGATGTATTCTATCGCGGGACCACCACACACACACACACACACACACACACACACACACACACACACACACACACACACACACACACACACACACACACACACACACACACACACACACACATATACATATATGAGTGTGTGTGTGTATACATGCACGTACGCACGCGCACACAAACACACACACACACAAATAAAGAGTGCGTGTATACATGTATGTGCGTACAGTCATAGATATGCCTATATATGTATATAAAAAAGTACTTATACGCATTACCACACGCACATACCAACGGCATCAAACTCGCCATAAACACCAATGACCGTACATGCAATCAGAGGCGATATGCCAGAATCCCCGTCTGGGAAGCGGAGGGCGCGGGGCTGTGTTGCGGAGACCGGATGGGGCGTGAGATACCAAGGGCAGCCCTGATTAGCCGCCTCGTCTTCGTCGGGGAGAGACTCGGAATAATCAGCTGGACTATTGTGTTTACGCACTATAGCCACACATGTATCTATTTACATTGTATATATATATATGCAACATGTGTGTGTGTGTGTGTGTGTGTGTGTGTGTGTGTGTGTGTGTGTGTGTGT